TCAATCTACATGGCCAGCCATCAAAGGATAAGAAGAATGACAAGTCATTTAATTGAATTCAATTGTATTTAGGTGATTGTTTTCTTTTAATTGTAAAAACGCTTCATATTGTGCCTATCAACACTATAAATAGGCACCTCCATTTCATTTGTAGATAGAACTTTTTGCATAATAAACTCTTTGCAAGGTTGCTTTCATTTTAGTTCTTGGATTAGAACTCTATCGGTTTCTTGTCGGTCTTGAAGCCTTCATCCATTTCATCTTGTTATAGCGTTGGTTCCTAGCTCTACTATAGCTAGTGGGTCGCGTTCCACCCTCTATCACTTCGATTCCATCTTTATTATATTATTGGTTCCTAACTCATATATAGTTAGAGGATCACAATCCATCCTTTGAATTACTATCATTCTCCATGCCAACCACAAACTTCCTTCACCATTTTTGTTACATCCATTCAACCAGTATCATAACCACTCTTCTTTCATTTACAATCCACTTCAACTTTATTCTATCATTTACATTACTTTCATAAACATATTTATATATATACTTATGTCCCTTCTTATAACGTTGTTTGTGCATTTTCAGTCTTCAATCAAAGCATTGCGAAGTTCTTACTAGAATCACGATCGGGCATTCACATATATGATTCAAAACACATAACAGAGATCGTATCAAGAAGCATAACGAGAGTTTGCGATAGTATACAAAGAGATGGAGGGATTCGGCTGTGCAAGTTCATCCACCCTTAGATGAAAAGTAAACCATGAAGCTTTTTGTACAGACCCTGAAGGCACCTTACTTCAGGCACCTTACTTTAGGCACCTGGTTACAATCACATTAGAAATCTTTTCAGACTTGGTTATAGCCAGAGAGATGATCGAGTTGGCCATAAAACAAGGCAAAATAAAAGGAGGGGAATCAAGCAAGAAGCCTCCCATGAAGAACAAAGACAAATAGATCAACAACGTCAACACCTACAATGCCAACAAAGGTGTTACGATCTCAAGCACAAAAGAAACTAAAACTGTACCATCATATACTTCTAAACAAAATCATAGGGAAGCTAGGAAAGAAAGAGAGAATGAGCAATTTGATCCTATTTTCATGTCATACAAGGAATTATACTAACAGCTTTTTGACACTCATGTGGTGCCACCTTACCCTATAGAGCCAATGAATCCCCCTTACCCTAGATGGTATGACGAGAATGCCCATTGCGAATACCATGGTGGTGTACTGGGGCACACAATTAAAAATTACCTCACATTCAAGATGCTTGTACAACGAAAACGTAACAAGAATTGGATCCACTTTAACTCTGGAGCACTGAAGGTGGCACAAAATCTCTTGTCTAATCATCAGGAGACTGGGATTAACGAAATCATTACCGAGAAGGGTAGAAGAGTCAAAATTAGTGTTTCAGAAGTAAAATCTCCTTTGGCTTGGATATGGAGCCAAATGGTAAAGACAGGGATTCTCGCACCACAGTCAGATACAATAAGAAATGGAGATGGTAACCACTATTGTTACCATAATGAAGAGGGGCATGAGGTGTAGGATTACCCAAAATTCAAAGCCTTAGTCCAACTCATGATGGATAAGAAGGAGCTGGAGTTTGATGAAGAAGTTCATGATTCTCTGGAAGCAAATGTTTTCACTACCGGAGAGTCATCCGTAAGGAAATACGGCAGGGGTAGCCCTTTGATAATTACCCCTAAAGCAAAGACAATAGCAACGATAGAATCAAAGGTGGTGATCACAGCACCCCGACCTTTTCAATACAAGGTTAACCGACAAGTGTGACCACGGATGCTCCATATATCGAAGTAGACGATGAGGCAGTATAATATTCATTCTGCTCCTTTGAATTTGTGAATGCCACATTCGTTGGTGAAGGAAGAAAGATTCATAAACCTCGACTTTCTAAGTGTACTAGAATAAAGATCAGGCAAACTTTGGGAAGAGGCCCCAAGATAGGAAAAGGGTTTGGGAAGCAGCTGCAAGGAAGAATAAATCCAGTCCTTTTTATATCGGTAGGTAAGTTGCACTCCTTTTCATTGTCAGAGTCCTCTTCATTGTCTTTCAATGGCGATTATGGGTTCGTTCCCCAGTAGAGTCGCCAAACTGTTGCAACCGTCTTTCGGGTGGGTCCGGAATTGAGCTTCGACTAGAATAAATGGGTTAGAGTCGCCACTGATAATTTATTTTAAGAACGAAATGGGTTGATCGGATGCCTTGATTTCTTACTTGATTTGCATCTTACCAAAAATATGTTGGATTCGAGAGTCGGTTACAGTCAATGAAGGATTATCACCCTTGAACTGCCATTTCGGTACTAATTAATTTTCAATTGTCTTACTTAAGAAAATTGTAGTTTAAATTAAAAAGGTAAATTACGATCCAAATTACTTACCTCCGATTGATTTGAATAAAGACCCTTAAAAAGATAGAAATGTTAGATTTGTAGTGAAGTACAAAATCGAATTAAGATAGAAAGTGCGTAAATATGAAAATAATAAACAAAAAAAAATACAAATAATAAAATAAGTAAAAATAAAAATAAAATAAATAAAATGGTAAAATAAATAAAAACAAAACAAAATAAAAAATAAAACAAAATAAAAGAAAAGAAAAAATAAAAACAAAGAAAAAAGTAATAAAATAAAAAACAGAAACAAAAATAAAACAAAAAAGTTAAAAAATAAAAATAATATATATATAATATAGTGTTTAATAAAACAAGTAAAAAACAATAATAAAAGAATAATAAATATATTCGTGTAAAATACTAGGTAAAAAACAAATAAAAATAAAAAAACAAGTAAAATATATATATGTATAAACGTATAAATAAAATATTAGATAAAAGATAATAAGAAATTAAAAAATAATAAATAAATATAAAAAAATAAAAAAATAATAATAATAATAAAAGGACTAAATCGAAAGAAAATAAAATTGGGGTGTGAATTTACAAGGAAATTCAGTTTTTAAATCAATTTTTGGGTTCAAAATGCATGGTTTAAAAACCAGGGGGACCGAAGTGGGGATTTCCCCATTTTAAACGAAAACGCACGGAACCTCTGGCTCTGGTAGGGTCGATGCACGGATCTTAACTGGGTCCACAGGTCACATATAAATGTTATTTTTTCACAAACACTTTCCATTTTCTTCATTTGCGTCAAAACAGATCAAACCCAACCCTTATATTTCTCTAAAACTGTTCTTCATGTTCTTCAAAAATGAAGAACAGCCGCCGTAAAAACCCAGAAACGGTCGGCCACCACCTTGTCGGCCTCCATATACCAGCACCGGCCGCCATTCATAGGCGGTGGTCGGAATTTTTTTTGCACCTTTTTAAAGCTCTTTTCACCCTCGTCTTAAAAACATTTTTATTTTTTGAAAAAATACCTCAGGGAGGGCTAGATCTGAGTTTGAAACTCTCGATCCCTCCCCCCAAATTCATTGGCCGATCGGTTTTCGAGTCAAAAAATAGGGGAAAAACACACGAAATAAAACATATGCAAGCGAAAAGGGTCGAAAAAGGTAGGATTTTTACCTTTAATTTCTCTTCAAATTCGTAAAAACAATGCTTCGATCTCACTGTTTCTTTTCTCGTATTTGCTAGTATTTTCGTATGTCTTTCGTCTGTCCTTTCTGAGTCGTTACATGCGTATTTATAATAAAATTATATGCTATTTTTAGTCCAATAGAATCATAATGAAACTACACTTGGTGCTTGTTGTTTGTTGGTGGTTAGTGCTGAGGACTCGTCGGGAAATTCGGTCACGTGAGGAGAGGCGGCTGAAGCAACAAGGGTTAATGACAAAATCCTACTTTAATCTTTAATCTGGGCCCTTAGATCATCGTTGGATCTGACGGTTGGGCTAAAGCGGCGCAGGTGGAAAAGTAACAAACCCTAGCTGGACCTGTTCGAGTCACGGATTACTGTTTCTGGTTGTTCCAGCGGATCCGGGTCTGCAAGGGTATTGCAATTGGGCTACTGTTGGGCTACGGGTTGCTAGGCTTTGTTCTGTAAATTATTATTGGACCTATAACCAAATAATAAAACAAGTTAATGTGTATATGTAGTAAAACAATATGTAATGTGTATATAATATATATATATATATATATATATATATATATATATATATATATGCTACGTAACGGCATAAAATATACATTATATAATTTTATTATCCCACGTGCTATGTATATATTACATATACGATACGTTTATAACATAAGGGTGAAAAATGTGTGTCTACAATTAGATTAGATCAAATATAAAAAAAAAACTCACTATATTTTTTTTGTCTTCACGATGAAAGAGATGAGAAATAAATTTGGGATAGTAGCTGAAACAGTTAAACTGAGGGTTTTAAAATATTATTTATATAAAAAATACAAATAGTTTTCTCTAAAAACTACTTTCCCTCTAAAACTCAATTTCCTTTAAAACAAAATAGAAGGAAATTTTCCTCCTAAATTAATTATTTATTTAAAAAATTATTATTTAATAATATTATTAAGAGTATATCACAATTATTTCTTTTATTCATATAACGTTAAAAAAAGTATAACAATAGATTAAATATTAAACAAAATCTGACTCCTATTAAGAGCATAACATGATTATTATTATTAATTAGATTATCTTTAGACATCTTCTTAAGATAATAATAATAATAATTTAGAATAATTAAGAGTATAATTTATTTTTTTTGTATATTTTAAAATTTAAATTTAGACATTTAGAAACTTAAATTAATTATGTTTTGATTGCAATTCATCTAAAAAAACAATTGCCTACTTCAAACAAACTAAAGAAAATTAAAATCTGAATACAAGTGAAAAACTTAATTAATGGTATTAAATGTATATATCTTTGAATTGTAAGTCCTTTTACTAGAACACCACTATGTATCATATATAATATTTTTTTTCTTTTTAATTCAATGGAACTAAAATTTCACTTAACAGAGTTTCAAATTTCCCAAATATTAAAATCCCTAGCTCTCGCTCTCTCGGTACTTCCTTTTGTTATCCCTTCTCGCACAGTCACAACGACACTTCAGCACCAGCAGGCAACAAGTAGTCACAATCTCACCAACACAGTCATAACCCAAATCCCACAACAAAGCTACTCTCCTTTACCCTTCTTGTTTTACTTTTTCTCAGCTTGACATATCAACCTAGCCCAAGAAAGAAGTTGACTGTGCTTGATCTTGCTTGCATAAAACCTGAAAAATTCGAAAACGCAATACTTTAAACTTGAAGAAGCAGGATATTATACTGCACGAAAGGGAAAAAGCTATCGAGAGGATAGGGTGTTGCAGTGGCTACAGGCTTTGGATTTGCAAGTAATCGGCGCATGTGGAACCGATGAAAGGTTAAAGCCTTTGTTGAAAGTCAATTGCTCAAACGGCGTTGCTGAGGATTGATTGTTGGCACATTTGAGTAAGGTATATTGATAAATCTGAAGTTTATGTTGTTTAGCCTTTTTAATCGAACTCTAACATGAAAAATTAGCTGAAATCTGTATTTGCTTTGTAAAATTTTCGAATTGGAGGATTATGTGTGTTTAATTTTATTTGTTTGCATAAATTTTCAGCATTTTGAGCCATCGGAAGTTTGTATACTGGCGAGGTGCTTTTGCATACCTTTGGTTTATATTCGAGTGGGGAAAATCAACAAACAAGGGATTTGTTTCCAGCCTAATGCTGTAAGGTAGTTGAATTTTTACTCTTATTGGCGGATTTATCATAAATTATCCTCTTATGGATATCACATTTAGTCTATGGGTTACATGTTATCCTTTTTGTTGCAAACCATTAGCATTTATCCATAACAGACAACCATATTCTTAATTATTAAAAAATTTTGTAGAATTTTTACAGTTTGGTCTCTCTAGAAACTAGTCTTTTAGGTTTTTTCCCCCTTAATTCATTTAAATTTGGAATTATCAAATTAGTTAATTCTTTTAGTTAGTTAGTTACTTTATGGAATTATTAAAAAAATTCTGTAGAATTTTTACAATTTGGTCTCTCTAGAAACTAGTCTTTTAGGTTTTTTTCCCTTAATTCATTTAAATTTGAAAGCACAATACTTTAAACTTGAAGCAGGATACTATACTGCACAAAAGGGAAAAAGCTATCGAGAGGATAGGGTGTTGCAGTGGCTACAGGCTTTGGATTTACAAGTAATCGGCGTATGTTGAACCGATTACGTGTTGCTGAGTAATTGTTATAACATTTGTCTTTAGTCTTCTAAAACAAGAAATTTGGTTATTGGAAATTTATTTCGTGTTGCTGAGTAGTTGTTCGTTACTTCAAATTTCAAGTATTTTTACTGAAATGTTGATTCCTTTTTGAAGTTATAACATTTGGAATGATTTAATCGATTGATACATTGAACTGTTGATTTGTTTGTTGATTCTTTTTGAAGAATTATGTGATTATTTGAATTTTTTATGTTAAAATATCTTGGAGACTTTTACAGTGCCTAACTTTTAAGTTCGTAAAGTTGGTTGCAAAATTGCATGCTTCCACCTAGAACTGGCAAATGAGTTCCTAGATACTGTCATGCTGAAGGTTACCATAATTCACTTGAAAAATCTTTGGATGTAATATTGGATTATGCAGTAATCAAAGTGTGAAAAGACGGCATGAAAAAAATGAAAGCAAACCATGAAATAGATCTCTTATTTTTGGTTGTACATAGCCTACTATGGTTCTACATTGCAAAGTGATAGATAGGTACAACTCAATTTCTACACATTCTACAATTAATCCTAATTAACTAAGGTTTTAAAATGAATTCACTAAGATTGAAGGGAAAACATGATTGTACCCTCAATGCTACCTGTTATGTTCTAGTCCATGTTTTATGATCTAAATAAATCTGTGATCGACTAACTTTAGGTCTTCAATTTTTATAATGTTAATATATTATATTTCCCTCTTCATTTTCTTGGTTTGACATGGATAGGTTGTTTAGTACGAATTTGGTTGCCTATTATTAGTTCCTTTATTTGGTTCTCATCTACCTTTTAACAGCACAAGTTTGTGTTCGGGTACACTCGTCGGACACATGGGGTTCGAACCCAAACAGCTTACGAGGACAATATAAAGAAAATTGTGGATTTCAGTACAATAAGTTCTTTTTAAAGAATATAAAATAATTATGTTTGATTGTTAATACTGACCCTAGTATAAGCGTTTCTTTGTAGGTTGAAGGCTTTTGGGTCTGGTATAAGCATTTATCCATAACACACATCCATATTCTTAATTATTAAAAAATTCTGTAAATTTTTACAGTTTGGTCTCTCTAGAAACTAGTCTTTTAGGTTTTTCTCCTTAATTCTTTTAGGCTTTTCCCTCCCTTATCTGTTCCTTCTGTTACATTGCACCAAATACATTGTTATTTTAACAGGTAACAATTTCATCAACAAAGTCTATCATCTTTCCTATGTGGAGAAGATCATTCTTCATTTCTAGTAACACAAAATAATGAGATCACTTTATCATGGGAATCAATAAGCACCCCAACGATTTCCCAAAAAAACAAAAATTGGAGGATTAAAATAATAGATAGAAAAACAACTCTTTTCTGACCATTTAAGGTTTAGATTTGAAATTATCATATTAGTGAGCTAATGCTTACTTTGAAATATTAAAGACCAATTGTGGATACAGTACAGTTTTCCCTAGTTTTTCAACCATAATTCTTATTCATCAGTGATACCTTTGTAATGGTCTCATTCCTTTGATCTTTCATCGTCTTTAAGCATATATCATTTTGGCAAAATAACTTGGATTTCTACAACTCTTTTATCCCCTTTGTGTCATTATTCTATGTTGGGTTATTTCTTAATTGCTGTGACTGTTTCTCTTTTGATTATTTTTAGGCTTACTAGGCATTATTTTGAATTTAGCCTTGAGTTGAGTCCATTTTATTTCAATTACATGATTTACTAAATTAGTGCATCTTATCTGGTTGCATTTTGAATGGTTATAAGTTTGGAGTTTGGTCTATTTATTATGTTTGATAACTGTTGTCTGCAAAATCCATACACATGTATCATCCACTAACATTTTCTCATAGTGTTTTAATCTAGCAACTAATTGAAATGTGTTGAAATCTGTATGGATCATATTATAGCTTCCATGGTTTCTTTTATTTTTAACCTCTGTTTTATGGTCTATGTAGTATCTCCTCTAAGCTTTTTTTGACATTTTCTATGTTAATTAATTTGGTTTCTATATTTGTTAATTTATTTTATATATGTTAGTGTTGGCACAATGGATAGACGTTGGATGTCACGTACAAATAGATTTAGTATTGAATATCAAGAAGTAGTTTGTGATTTCTTAAATCTTGCAAAACAAAATACAAACTCCAGTGGTAGGATTCGTTGCCCATGCAAAGATTGTAACAACTGCTTATTTAAAAAGTTAGCAGATTTCAAGTTCGATTTGTTTTGACATGGATTTGCAGAGGATTATACTCAATGGACACATCAATGTGAGTCTTTTCAACCAAACAGTGATCAACAACATGATTTGAATGATAAAATCACATTAGTGATGAAGTTCAACAAGAACATGGTGATATGTTTGAAATGTTAGATGACATACAAAAATCAACTTTCATTGGGGCTAATATTGAAAGTTCATCTACGAATACTGAAACAATTGAGCCCGAAGGGGAAGTAGAAAAGTTTAGAAAAATGTTAAATGATGCTCAACGTGAATTATATCCTGGTTGTAAGTTCTCGAAGTTATCATTTCTTATGAAGATGATCAACAAAAAAACAATTAACAATTCGAGTATCAAATCTTTTGATTTGAACTTAAAATTGTTAAAGGATGCTCTCCCGAAGGATGAAATGCTTCCTGAATCTTATTATGAGGTGAAACATCTTGGTCTAGGTTATATCAATATTGAAGCGTGTGTGAATGATTGCATATTATACTGGAAACAATATGAGCATTTTGATCATTGTCCTAATTGCCAAGCTTCAAGGTGGAAATTTGGTTTGGGAAAACATAGAAAGATTGCTCGTAAAATAGTTAAATATTTTCCTTTGAAACCTAGACTTCAAAGATTATCTATGTCTAAAGATGTTGCTGAATACATGTGATGGCACAATGAAAAACGTATTAATGATATTGTAATAAGGCATCCGGTTGATGCAACAACTTGGCAGGAGTTTGATAAATAAAATGATTGGTTTGCTTCAAATTCACATAATGTACGACTTGGGATTGCTAGTGATGGTTTCAATCCTTTTGGCAACATGAGCACCAGCTACAACATGTGTCCCGTTATTCTGCTTCCTTATAATTTGCCACCTTGGAAATGATGAATGAGCCATTTTTGTTTTTGTCCACATTAATTCTAGGTAAGAATTCTCCTGATAATGATATTGATGTTTATTTATAAACTTTAATAGATGAGTTGAAAGATTTATGGGAGAATGGTGTTGAAACATATGATGTGTACAATAATAAAAAATTTCAATTGCACGCCGCATTGTTATGAACTATAAATGATTTTCCTGCATATGGTTTGTTACCTGGGTCGAGTACAAAAGGAAAGTTGGCATGTCCTATTTGCAACAAGTGGACATATTTTGTTACTTTGAAGAATGGGCAGAAACAATGTTACATGGGTCATTGTAGATACTTGGATAAAACACATCCTTGGAGAAAAAGTAAGAAATTTGATGGTAAGCCAGAATATAGGATAAACCTCCAGCATTATCCAAAGATGATATAGTTAAACAGACAAATTACATTTCTACGAGTTTTGGGAAGCTACATACTAATAGAAAGCGCAAACGTACTGATGGAGAGTTGAATTGGACTAAAAGAAGCATTTTTTACCTTTCGTATTGGAAAACTTTAAAATTACGCCATAATTTGGATGTGATGCACATTGAGAAAAATATTTGTGAAAACATTTTGGGAACATTGTTGAATATTGATGGAAAGATAAAGGATAATGTTAAAAGTCGTTTGGATTTGGAAAAAATGGGCATTAGAAAAGAGTTGCACATAAAATGTAATGGTGATAGGTTAGAAATGCCTATATCATGCTATACGTTTCCATTGTCAATTCGAGAAAAGTTTTGTGAATGGCTTAGATCAATTAAGTTTCCTGATGGCTATTGTTCAAACTTATCTCAATGTGTAAATGCTGATGATGGCAAGTTGTATGGAATGAAAAGCCATGATTATCATGTTTTTATGCAACGAGTCCTTCCGACAGCAGCATATGGTTATCTACGAAAGGATCTTTACACTGTGTTATCTGAGTTGAGTAGTTTTTTCAGAGATTTATTTTCAAAGACAGTTCAAAAAGACAAGTTATATAAGTTGCGAAGTAGCATAACTCTAATTTTGTGTAAGCTTGAAAGCATATACCCTCTGTTATTTTTTGTGGTTATGTTACACTTGTCTATTCACTTACCCTGTGAGGTTGAGATAGGTGGTCCCGTTCACTATCGATGGATGTATTTTATTGAAAGGTAATATCAAATTTATTCTTTAACCTTTTTATTTATGTTCATTCATTGATATGTATTCACAATTTAATTTCTATGAATAGGTTATTAGGTACACTGAAAGACTGTGGGTAATAAAGCTCGCCTTGAAGGTTCCATCGCTGAAGCGTACATGAACAAAGAGTGTCTTAATTTTGTTTTATGTACTTTCATGGAGTTGAAACTAGATATAACAGATTGGAAAGAAACTTTGACGGATATCAAATAATGATTGAAAATGAGTATTATATTTTTTCACAAAAAGCAAGAACTTTGGGAGCTACAATATATGATACACTGTTCGATTTTGATTTCAGAATGATTCAATGGTATATACTTATCAATTGTGAAGAGATAGAAAAGTACTTAAAGTAAGTTATTTTTCCATTAAAGTACATGTAAACTTTAAATATTATTGTACTTTATGATTTACTAATTATATTTTTTTGAATATATAGAATGCATATGGAGGAAATTCAGAAACAAGGGAATGCTAACTTGCAATAAAGACTTCAAGTTGAATTTCCCTCTTGGTTAAAACGATATGTAAGTGTTTCTCAATTTATATCATATCCATTAATAAAAAAAATATTTATTAATTACAGTTTTAAACTTATTCTCACAGGTTATTAAGTTGCATTTGGATGGTTCACTTGAGTCGAATAATCATCTATATGTATTAGGTACTGGTCCTGATACACGTGTTAGTCGTTATACTAGTATAATTGTGAATGGGGTTAGGTCATACTATCAAGCGTGGATCTAGTCGTCGCACTCAAAATAGTGGTGTTTTAGTGCACAGAGTTCATAATTCAAAACAAACCAATTTTTATGGTCTGTTAACATATATTATTGAGCTTG